GGGAGCAGCAGCTGCAGCCGGGCTCCCTTTGCGGTCCCGGGGCTGGGGTTTGAGCCCTGCTCGGAGCGATCAGCGAGTTCCCCGCGGCGAGCGCCCTCCCCTCTGATCCTTAGGCGCCTCTCGCGCGCCCTATCCCTGCCTCCTGAGGCGGCGCAGCACATGTAAGAGCTCGCTCCTTGTGGTCAGGGCGGCGACAGGAAAGGGCCCCACTGAGGGAAGAGCCAGTGCTGCGCGGGAGCTTTGCCTGCGCTTTGCGCGCACCCCCCAGGACAGCAAGAAAGCCCTGGCTCCAGTTTCGCCCGGGAAAGCTGGGGGTGGGGGTGCTCGCTTTATTCTTCAGCCTGCCTCCCAGCAAGCAGCATGTCCTTTCTCTCCTAGTCTGTCCTCCCTGCCGGTGTGCTCCGGGAACCCACACACGCTCCCCTCCTCCTGCCTGGATGTCCCCAGATTCCACACGCCTCTGGGGCAGAGATGCTGGACCCACTTTTATAATGGGGATGCTGGGAACCAATTAGTACTGCAAGTCAGAGAGTGCTTTTATACCCCCCAGCGCCTCTGTCTCTAGCCCCACTGCCTCAGGGGGAGAGAAGCTTCCATCGCAGTCATTTTTCTCTCACGATCTACTATGTTGTTCAGCTTTGGAGCTGAAAGGAAGCCGCGCACCTCCTTGGAGAGAGATTATTTGAAAGCCACCTTGGGGAAAACAAAGTTATTGTGGTATCTGGAAAAGATGACCTCCCGTGGTCATTGAATAGCAGCAGCAGGGGGATCTTGGTGTTGGGGAGGGGAGCGCAAATATTTTGCAGAAGCAGAAGAAGCCAAGTCTGAAGGATTAAGTGCATACCAAGATTTACAGATTCACTTTGCAGGACGTTTTACAAGAAGCTGAGAGATGATTCATTTTTATATGTTACGTTTTACACCGCAATATAGCTGCACGTCTGTTAATGTTCAACAGGGCTGGGTTTGGGAAGTCTCTGTGTGAGAGCCTGTGCATTAGACACAAACACACGGCTCAGGAAGTGATTAAATATAGGTAGGACTAATTTTTATCCGTCTAAGCTTCTTTTTATTCGCTGGTGCTTTTCTGCGCAATTTTTATGATCACCAGACACCAATGCAAAAGATTATAAAAGGCCAAATCTAAACAGACTGTGCGGAGGCAAAAACCCGCGCGGGTTACTCGCTTGATGCCTGCCCCTGCGTTGTTTATTTGTTCACCACCTTGAGCTCTGGCAGGTTCCTTCTTGGAATCTGTAGAGGGAAGGAAGGGGGCTGTGGGGTGGGGATATGTGGGGGTGGGGATGTGTTTCTCTCTGCACCGCAGCGAAGGGGCGGAGGAGAGCAATGCGCTGGCGATGAATGCGAGGACAGCGGCTAAGGAACTCAACACACAAGTAACTGGACTTGACAAGTGTATCCTTCGGGTGATCTTTGAGCATAAAGCTTTGTAAGAGATACAAAAATATAGGATGGAGAGAAAATATTGTTTCAGTGCCATTACAGAGGAAGCTATGGTATTTTTTTCCCAAATGGGGAGATATATATATATATATATTTTCTAGCGGGGCCTATAATGTATATTTCTCTTTATTCTATATAGTATATACTGTGTCGTGCGCCTAACATAAGCTATATATAATATTAAATATGTGCATAATTCTGATCTCAGTTACATCAATGTAAATCTGAAGTAAATCCATTGCCTTCCGTCTTCACGGCATTGAAGTCACTCCGGATTTTGTAATTAGGCGCCGAATCCGGATTGGTTAGATCTCTCTACGTCCACGCGCGCACACGCGCTGTAAATCCACATGTTCAATCTTGTTATGTCCCTGTGCTTTTTTTAAAAAAAACACCGTGCGGGGGACAAGGACGCCGCCCGGTCATAAGGTTGAGGCTAAAGGAATATCTGCACTGAAGCAATAAAGTCTGTTTGGTGCTGCTCCTCTGATACAACTACTAAGGAGTCTAATCCTGTGACAGCATGTGGCGTTTCTTTCCTTTCTTTTTCAACTGGGCTAGGAGTTAGAAATGTCCATAATCCAGTCTGCGCGCCTTACACCTCGGCGAGCTGTGAAGAAAACTGACTTTGCACCAAAAGCTCCAAGTAGCTAACAAGACCCTGGACAACAAAGCCAGCTCCGACTGTAACCAAATTCAACCCAAACATTTCAGGGCGTTTATTTTGTAAGGGCGCAGATAAACACGACTCTTATCTGATAAAGCCACTCAGCTGTCTTCCCATATTGTGCTTTTTAGTTTGTAAATGCACGTGATTTGTTCTCGTTAGGTAACACCTCTCAATTAGATCAGGGATCACCTCGCCCCCCTCACCCTCCACATGTGCTTTCAATAAATTAGATCGCAGCTTTATTTACATAAATTCCTCCAAGGCAGGCCCCATTCACTATATACCCTAACCCAGTCTTTGTTAGTGACTTACTGACATAAATCCGTCAATGGAGCTCATATTTTGTCAAATGTCTACACTAGTAAAGCGACCTGTACAACACCTGGTATTTGTACGCAAGCAAGGAGAAGGAAGCGATCAAGCTGCCGTCTGATATTGGTATTTTTACACCGGGCGCGCAAATTCTCCCACTCCAGAGTCCACAAGACTAGACGGGTGTGGGGATAGAGCTGAAAATAATAAGAATATAAAAAATCAAAATGCACAACTCAAAGCGAGTGCTTCATTCTGGAGTAGAGAGGGTTCTATTCGCAGAACTCCGCCCGTCGCGCAGAGGAGGACCCTACAGAGAATTCGATTTGCGACATCAGATTGCCTGCATAACAGAAGTACGCCAGCCAATACACATTTACACGTCGAAAATGCCAGTTAGTGCGCCACAGAGAGTGGAAGCATTGCTGTGATTGTGTCATCCGCTGGCTGTTGTTCAAGAGTTTGCGCCTCGGCTAAGTATCCACATTCATCTGGGATGGAACTTGGTTCAGCTGATACAAAACCCCAGTGCTAATAGTCCTTTCCTTCCTTAAAATAAACAACCATGTTATAAGACTGCGAAACACACAAACGAGAAAGAAAATAGCGGTTGGAAATATAGGAGCAATTCATTCAAAATGGTTCGATTGAGAAACCTAACGTTTCGCAATCAATTAGTCCAGCATTTTATGGAGCTCTGACGGCGTAAATCCTTCGTAGTTTATGGATTATTGACTGTTACGGTCTATTGGATGCGTCATATTCAAACCTACACATGTATAATATGCGTACCAAAGTAGGCATTTAGCAAGGTAAATTATATGCCCTTACAACGCTTAGGTATTATTGAGAGTGTGATATGAAAAATCAGGCTGCACGCTAGAGAAACAGCAGCTATGCTTAGAAAAAGCACAATGGGGAGGATTAAGGACAATTTCAGTTTGACTGTTTTTGCTTTTGCCAGTGTTTGTCTGAAAAACACACAGAGAGAGACACGCGCACAAAAGAACGGGTAATTGCTTTGAATTATATACGCAAATTATGCCTACTGCTTTATTACATGAATATACTTTCAAGCAATTTGGAGTTTATATTATTCATTATGAAAAACTAACAACTTTGTTGTTTCCCCAGTTCATTTCTTTAAGGAGAGTTTTATATTCCCCTAAATAAAACTGCAAAGCTTCTCTTAGATATAACTATGCAGAGTAAATTTAATCCCAAATGTCACCTATTGTTTATAATTTCTCCCCTGAAATGCGAACGACGCTTTTAGTGGTAGTACCGCGTGTTTGTTTGTTTCTTATAATGAATAAATAACCAAGTTTGGATTCAACTGTCTGGTTTTGATTCTTATTTTATTTAACCCTTTAATCGATCCAAAATCAATATTTCAATAAAATGCGCGGCATACCCTGAATAAAAGAAGACTATAAATTATGTATGCAGAAGTAAAATAGACGCATGTATTATCCACTGAATTACAAAAGTAGAAACGGAGGAGGGGAGATCCTGGAGTCCTAACACAAAGAGAAACCAAGCGTTAGCTATTTCTTAAAGAGACTTTGGATAAAAATGGACTGGTTCCTTATTTTTCTTGGTTTAAAAGTGTACGTTTTAAAAAACAAAGTACCTTCATAAAAAGTGCCCGTTGTGGAATAAAATTGCACTTTAAATTCCATTCAGGTTGTCGGTTGAGTTCAGTTAAACTATTATCGCCAAACGCGTGGGGCAAAGTTTCACAACATCTGAGCCCATAACCGCAGAGAAACACCCGAAATCTTTCGCTTTCATTCAGGTATATTCCCCACTCAGGGACTTACTTACATTGTGTGTTAAGCTTAATGCGCCTTGCCATTTCTGAAGTCAATCAATAGCGAGTCTATATTCATAAATGTTTCAAAACACCAGATCTGATTACAGGCCACACTTCTCCCCCTCCTAATCCGCACAAGAGAAATGGAGTGAAGGACTGGGTAGACTGTAGAGTGAATCCCTGCTTTTGCGGGAAGCGGGGGGGAGGGATTAGGTCTCCCATCTCATTGTGGATTGAGATGTGGATTGGGACCCAGACAGCTCTGTTTGTTCACACTCAGCGCTTTTGGCCAGCCATTAGCGCTTACTGAGTCCTCAAAAGAGCAGCCACACATCAGATAAGTTATTTTTATTAGCTTTGGATAAGAACGGGAATGTTAAGACTTTGGGGTTCCTCCCCCACTTCTCTCCATTAATTATTATTAATTCTGATTATCATTATTATTTCAGATCCAAACTCCATCGCTAGCAAGGAGAAGGGAAGCCAAAAACCTTTTGATTTACGACCTCTTCAAAACATTATATCTTTGGTCAAGTGGCGCAGAGAAATGATGAGCTTCCAGGCTTCAATTGGGAGGGGCAGAGGAAATTCAGAATGCGCCGGGAATGATTTATGTCCTCTGGGGGTGAGCACGCCGATTTCTCATCTTTTTAACGATCTGAAGTACCAACGTGAACGCCCAGGTCCAATAGTTTGGGTTTGATTTGTCTGAAAGCCAAGGAATACTTGTAATAACTACCGCTCCCGACGGGAACTAGTGGGAGGAAGGAGACTCAAAGAGGGATTTGGGACTCTGCTGGGAGATTTCTAATAGCATGCGACTGATCCTGGGAGAGGGCGTGGAAGTAAGTCAAGTCGGATAAGGGTGGCTCTGAAGTTAACTCGCCATGTTTTAGCGCTGACACAGGAAACTAGGAGCCCTGTCTCTCCCCAGCCGTTTAAAAGGGTTGGGTTTCTAGCGCTTTAACACACAACTAGCCCCGACCTCGTGAAACCGGGGGGGGGGGGGTAACAACCTTCCACTCGCACTCACCAGGGTTTAAGTGTTGACACGGCACAGCCAATCGATTGGAAGCGGTCTGGACTGGGGGGAAAGTGGGGATCCGTCTGTCTCTGGGCTCCAAAGAGGCGCCATCTGTTCTCCCAGCTCTGTCCCAGGAGCTGTCCTGGCTGGCCCCAGCATGGTGCAGAAACTGTCCAGCCCAGCCTCCCATTTTAGAAACTTTCGCCCGGGGATCCATTGATTCTGGCTTAATTAATGAACACTACGGCTAAGCAGCTAGAAGTGGTCTTACTCTTCCCCCAAGGACACACTCAGAACCCTTATCCGGCTGGGGAGGGGGGGTCACTGTTCAGAATCCCATCCCCCTGTCTTGGCTTCTTCCCCCAGCCTCCGATGACTATGGATGCTAAACCCAACTCCTCCCCAAACCCCCGAATTGTCAGGGGGGCTCCAGACGGAACAAATCCGCCTGGCTCCCTGCCTCTCACCCATCGCCACCGCCAAGGACTACCAGGGGAAGGTGATCGGCTGTCCCAAGGGCTTTTTGTTGGCGCTCTCTCCGCCGCCTGATCCTTGCCTGCAGGTCTGGCCGCGACTCCTCCAAAAATAAAGAAAGACAAGTTAATGTGCAGCGAGCGCCGATCATAAAGAAGGAGCATTATCAAGTGATCTCCTGTTAAGGGCCAGTGATTCCGTGCAGAACAAAGGCACAGTGTCTGCTCGGCCTATAGGTAAAGTTACAGCCGCTAAAACACACCCAGCCGCAAAGAAACGCCACACACATACATACACACACACACACACACACACATTCAGCTTCTCCAGAGACAGGCCCCTAGGACTTTTCCATCTCAGGTCCCATCAAGTCTGCTGATTCCCTCTCTACAAGCAAGCCGCGATTCCCCCCTCCCCCACTTTGTCCAGAGTTTTATATTTTAATTTACTCTTGATATTTTTTAATCAAAAGCTCCCCTCCCCCAAAGGTTCTCTCCGAAACTCCTCTCCTTTCCTTCCCCCACCGCCAGTCCCCACAAGACTCTTCACATCCGCACGTACTCAGTCCCAGTTCAGATGTCATCTGATGGGAGGGCCAAACTGTAATTCATCTTGATTTACTTCATTGTCCTGGAGATGGCAAACTATAATCCTGTATAATTTCACGAACAAGCAGGTTTGGAATTAATGGGTCAATATTAATTTAAAACAAAACACAGAGAGCACGACCTTTTCTCTCAACTACATATTGCAGTACAAGTCTCAGGAAACTTTAGGCTAACCTCTCAACCTCTTGGGCTCTGAGAGGTTGCAGTTATTTGGAGTGCTCTTTGCTTCTGCTAATGGCAGAAAAGGAACTGGAAATAGAAATGTAATATCAACGAAAGATCTCTCTAAGAAACGAAGGTGACTGTGGGATTTGACGAGGAGGTGTTGGTTTGTAAACTTTTTTTTTAAGTATGTAATTGAAGCTTCTGTCTCAGCGTGAGCAATTCAAATTCACTCTCTAGGTGAACTCTGCAACTTTGTTTTTCGTTGGAAATGCTCTAGTCGAGCAATCTCAGCTGCTCCATTTTCTGCTGAGCTATTTATGGGAATAATGGTGTCCTGTCTACGCTGCAGAAATGCAGAAGTCGGTCGTTCCGAGGCCAGAGTTTCGTTAGAATGTAACTTTAGTGTAAGAGGTTTTTGTTGGAAAATAACTGTGATGTATGAGTATTACAGAAAAAGTGAGTGCACCGTGTCTCCAAAGAAGGGGATCCAATGTCATCTATGAGTCAGTAAGTGTGAAGTGGTTACCCGTACGCAGTTCATTAAAAAAAATCCAGACAAAACTGTATGCTGTATATTTTACTCCATGAAATAAAACACATTTTTTCATGTTTGCTGAAAAGTAAAACAATAATATTGTACGAAATGTTATACACAGGGCATGTTTTACATTGAAATTTCAGAAACATCATTGCATCCACCAGAGAGACTATTCTAAAACTGATATTCACACAATTTTAATAATAATATGTTAGAAACATACAGTGTCGCATTTAGTATATACATTCCCTTGCTTGCAAGCGAAAAATCCTAATCGCTTCTGTGTAACATGCTTTATTTTAAAGCCTAACCTTTAAAAACACTGCTGTGATATTACTAACAACTGCTTTTATAAAATTAATTTGACATTTCCATATATATACATCCTTTCAGTCATTTTATGTTAACAATGCTAAACTTAAAAAATAACAAGCTTATAGTAACATTAAAATGTCATATCATATCCAGTCAAACATTTGTCCATATATATGTGTGTGTGTGTGTGTGTGTGTGTGTGTGTGTGTGTGTGTGTGTGTGTGTGTGTGTGTGTGTGTGTGTGTGTGTGTGTGTGTGTGTGTGTGTGTGTGTGTGTGTGTGTGTGTGTGTGTGTGTGTGTGTGTGTGTGTGTAAATATATATATGTATATGGTCTTGTAACTGTTGGAAATACTCTTAGTGAAATATGTCAGAATCTGCTGGAGGTCCTTTGAAAACAAAGGAACTATCTTATTTCAGTGGTTTCATTTTCTCTTTTGTTTTCTCTCTCCTTTTCTTTCTTTCTCTTTCTCTATAGTGCCCATTACTTTCTAGTATAATTCTCAGTCTTGGTGGGAACGGGGAGGGTTTCCCATTCAGTATTTTATACTTTAATATCTCACACGGGTCTGTCCACCGCGTATTGGCATGCGCTCAGGTTGGAAGCTGGGTTCTGAACACTGGCGTATCCAAAGCTGGAGTGCTGCTTGGCTTTAAGTCTCAGACTAGCCAGGCTAGAGTTACATGTGTCCCTATAAACATAAGGAGGTGTCGGAGGAGCATAAGGGCAGGCTGGCGTTGGCACGGCAGAATTCAGAGAGGGATTGCTCAAGTTGTTCAAGTTGTTCAGGCTGTTGAGGCTGGAACCGGGGACCCCAGTGACTGCAGAGGGCACCATGCTTGAAGACATACTCATGGAGGAGATGGAATTCGGAGGGGAGAACATGCTCTGAGAAGACAGGGGGTTGACATTCATCGAGTTGAAGAAAGGGAAACTTTTGGTGGAGAGGGAGGCGGAGGTCAGGCCTTTGGCTGCCCAGTTGTTGTAAGAATACCCGGGGTACATATCATCGTAGGGCTGCATGAGGCCGTTAAACTGTGGACCAAAGCCATTTTTACAGAGCTCGGCCTGCTGGTTTCTTTCTCTCTTTCTCCACTTGGCTCGGCGGTTCTTGAACCAAACCTTAAATAAATAAATAAATAAATTAAATAAATTAAATAAAGCCAGGCGCGGTTTAGTTATGTAAAAAAAAAACCAAAAAACAAAAAAAACCCCACCCCTCAAATCACTTGGCTAACGGTGAAGGTAATGGAAAGGATATCACGGGCTGCTCTGAGAAGGAAACTGACCAGTGTTAAAAAGAAAAAAGAGGATTGTGGTTTCCACTATCTACAAACATTTGTATTTCAAATGGGCTTTCACATATACAATCCCCCGAAGTTGGCAAAATCTCCTCTCTTCCCCCAAAAAAACAAAAACAAAAGCGAACTCTGCAGGAACCGAAGTGCTTATTTTAGCTATTTTTATCTTGTCACGTTCATATAGTAGTAGCTGAGAACCCTCACATAAACTATTTATTTTAGAGCTCACGTTTTGCAGTTTTCCTTTCGTGAATCCCAAACACACATTCGCGCCACAAAAAACAGAGCGCTTACAGAGTTTGCTCTCTGTTATTTTACAAATGGGGAGACAAAAACTTCAAACCAAACCACACCGAATTGCAAAGCTAATGCAAAACGCCTAAAAAAAAGCTGCAGAGTTTTGCCACGGGAGAAACATTATATTTCCCATTGCAAATAGAGGGAAAACCCTAATAAATCTTGACTCAGCAGCTTGTCAAAGCTCCCCAAGTACTAATCTTCAGGATTCCCCCAAACACTTATAAACAAACGTGTCCTCCTGCTTTTTTGGCAAACTTTGCCTTTTAACAACGTGCTAAATGAGATCTAAAGTCCTTTCCTCCAGACAATGGCGAAAACGTGTGCCTTTCTCTAAATCTTTCCAATCCACATCTTGGTGTCTGATTTGTCAGCCAGCCTCCTGCAAAGTTATTTTGTGTACTAGAGGCCTTCCCGGGCTCCTCTTTGTTTACACAAATGATGTTTTACATTACAAATCTCTTAACTGTACAATTAATCCTTGAGGCGGCTTAGACACAGCTATAAAACCAATATAGTGCCCCACTCCGATTCACTACATATTGTCAGGGTAAAGCAGCAAACGTTTCTCTAGCTAGCTTCACAAAACATCCATCAGTTACATTGCAGCTCATGAATAAAAATATAGAGTGTGAAGTGGCTGCTAAAATTACTTTAACAGTTTATAATCCGATATTGTACCCATCAGCCTACTAATGTCAGACAAAATAATTCAAAGTGATCGTTTTCAATAACAAACAGCCTAAATGAAGGAGACTATTTTTTAAAATAACAATGAAAAGGCGTTGAAACTAGACAGATTCAGTTTGCAATCCCATTCTGCTCGAATTAATCAACAACACATACAGCCTGCTTTTTCCTCTCCCTTTTTAATCACTCTCTGTATGTTTCTACTGTGCAATTTTGTTTAAAGTCTACAGCTCGCCTATTTTTAATTAATATATTTTATTTCAAAATGTCCGTAGATTAAGATGGCTCCTAATGTAAAATAGACCTTTCTTATTTTATTTTAGAGGTCTAGTATAATAATAAAAATGCTTTAAGAGTATGTAGACTCTTTCCACGCATACACCAGGATTTTAAATGTACTGTATTGTATTTTAATAGTATCCTTTAAAAAACAATAGATGAACCATAAGTTATATTTGAAGATAGTAAAGCTCTCGGGATTTATTTTTGGGTTTGTTTTCGGGGCCTCTCAGTAATGGGATTGCATAGCATCAGGATTTGGCTCATAATATAGATAATTTTTAGAACTGTGACAGTACCATAAATCTCAGGGGGAAAGCGCTTCGGTAGCTACGAAACCAAAAGCAAGAGAAAATGCAAGGAAGGGCATGCCCTGAAAGCCTATGAGGAAATAAAAGCCCTTGTATACGCTGCATCTTTTTCTCATTAGAGGCAGCACAGGTTGAAGCCTGTTTCAAGTTGCTTTCCTGGCGAATGTTTTCATGAGCAGAGGACACATTGCACAGTGAGGGCGAAACGTGCGACGCACCATATCCCAAGGAGGGAGATCGCAATCTGTCTCGCTTGGACACAAATCTCTTGCTCCCTGGTGCTTTTGTGCAAAAGCTCTGAAGCTGGAACGCAAAGTGAAATCGAAAGCAGCTGCCACCGGTTCAGCGCTTCCTCCGCCGTCAGGCAGCAGCGGGCTTTTGGTGTCGGTACCTACCCGGACTCTGGCTTCGGTGAGGTTGGTCCAGACGGCGATCTCCTCCCGGGTGGACATGTCCGGATAGCGATTCCTCTGGAAAGTGGCCTCCAGCTCTTGCAACTGCTGGCTGGTGAAATGAGTCCTCTGCCGTCGTTGCCTCTTTTTCTTGGAGGGATCCTCAGCCCCGCCATCCTCATTCTTACTCTGCTGGCTTTTATCTTTCTCTGCAAAACAAGGGCACCCACCATTCAAAAGGCTGCTGCGGACTGCTAAGAGAAAAGGGGCGAATTTATTTCCCCACACAGAGACGGCTCATTTGATTGAGTTTTGTTAGCATTGTATGCACAGTGAAGAGAATCATGGAGGCGTGTGGACTCCTACAAACTCAGCTGTCTAGATCTGCCATCTCGCTCTATACAGAGCACATGCACAGGCTGTACAAATACAGACGCGCAATGTAACTCGCCTGTTTGCATGCAGACAGGGGATGGAACGTTGGCCGTATGTGTGTGTTTAGAACGATCCCACACGTAGAGACCACAGAGTTATCAATAGACCATGACTCTGACAGGCGGATTCGAATGCCCTGCTAAACACCAAAGTACACGACAGTCCCTACATGGATCTCGCCTCGCGCGTTAAAGTTGACTGATCATCAGACTAAAGAGTTGTCCGGGTAGAATATCCCAGCTTTCACCTTGTGGACCCTCTTTCCCCACAGCCCCCCCGGCTGAAGACCTCCGAGCGTGGGGGGGGGGGAGTCTCTCTCCCTTTCTCCGCAGTTGGATGCTGGGGTCAATGGAGAGATGCACTCAATGGGGGACGCAACGGGGGGGGGGGGGGGGGAGTCTCTCTCCCTTTCTCCGCAGTTGGATGCTGGGGTCAATGGAGAGATGCACTCAATGGGGGACGCAATCCGTAGCCAAATGGGAGCCGCGCAGTGAATCCCGATGCAAACCTGCCGGAAAGTCCCGGCAGAAGTAATTCATTATACCGGGGGAGGGTTTTCCGTGTGCTCCCAATGAACACACATCTCCAAGGCTCTGCTGCCAGGAGAGACGCTCAGAGGAACCCCAGTGCGGCTCCCATTCACTGTCCTTCACTCAAGAGAAAAGAAAAGGGCGGAGGGAGAATCAGCAGCGAGACTGAGCTGGGGGGACAGGGTGATACCGAAGTTCCCCGAGGGGAGGCAGCAGAACGGGGTGGGGGTGGGGGCAGGGAAGGTGTAGCCGCAGCCCGGGGATGGACTGGGTCTTACCTGCAGCCTCGGGGCTGGAGGTGTCCGAGATGGTGTGCACCTCCAGCCGGTGTTTGGAGGAGTCCAGGGAAGAACGAGGCTGCCCGGGCGCTACAGCTGAAGCCATGACCAGCGCCGCTGGGTGATGATGGCAAGAGGATGAAGAGGAGGAGGAGGAAGGTGAAGTGGAGCACAGCTTACTCCCGGCTCCCAGCCGCTCCAGGCTTAATGGATCTTTCATGAAGTTCATCGGCCAAAGGAAGCCAAATATGTCCCTGTCTCTCCCTCTTGCGCTGTGTATGGCGGCGGATGTACAGATAGACACCCGCTGCACCCCCTCTCCGAGGCGCAGCGTGGCAGAAGGTGCCGGCTCAGCTCCCTCGATTGCTCCCTGGTCCAGCGGGAGCCTGAACAGCAGCAGCGGTGGACGGCGTCCAAGAAGCAACTTGTTACCCTTTTTACTGAACGAGTCCTAAGAAGGCAAATGGGCAAGTCCAGCCAGCCTTAAGCTAAAGTCTCAAGGAAAATAGATACAGAGGCGCACGGGGTGTTCTTGGCAGCCGGAAGGGGGGAAACAAATGATTAAAAAAAAAGGAAAATTCGACCCTATAATAATAATAATAATATTCCTAATAATAATGAATCACCACAGGACGCAAGTCTCCTGACTGACACGCTAAGGCGATGGCAGTGCCAGTAAGTGTCAGAGTGACAGGGGCAGGTAGAGGAGATGAAATCAATCAGCCACTCTCTCTCCCGTATGCACAGGTCTACGCACAGCGAGAACCCAGGCGAGCAATGGACCCGCGCAGCTCCGCCGCTTCCCTGTTTGCCCAACATCTTAAAACCAGAGGAGGCCTTCCCCGGGCAGTGATGTCACCCGACCCCTTCCCTGCCTCCTCCTCCGCCCGGGACCCGCTGCTCAGGGCCGGAATGATGTCGCTCCGGACCAATCAGGACGCGCGAGGCGGAAGACAGACTAGAACTACCGCCACCTATCAGAGAAGCAGGGCTGGGCTAAGTAATTCACTCTGCGGGACCAGGCGCGGGTGGAACCTGCTGCGCCCAAATTGCCAGAGAGTGGGCATTTGAAGGAGGTGATTCCACACAGGGGTGAAGGCGCGCGTGTTAAGATACCCACACATTTTTCTCGACAACGTGTGTTGTCGTTCCCCAGTGATGCGGGGACACCCCATCCTCTGCTGGCTACACAATTTTCTACGTTAGCAAGCAGGCTGCGGCTGAGGGGAACACGAAGAAACAAATACAAGCCGAACACAGATTACAATTTCAACCCAAGTGATCACGCATATTGCCTTACTCTTAAAAAAAAGGCTTCTCTCTAATTACGAGCAAGAGTTTAGCAATCCGAATGACAAGCAAACAACACCGAAAGTTGTCAAACACGAAATAGTGACTTTGAGCGTGATCCTAACAAGTGTTTAGGACTACAGTCACGTTTTACAGATTTGTTGAATAGAAACGGCAACACTAAAAATACCACACAAGTGTAAATGCCCATTCATAAATCAAGTAGATAATAAATTATACAGCATTACACCAGTTTGACTAATGGATTTTTTTCTGAAAAATTGGTAGTTTCCGAATTATATCCACCTTTAAAATTTGTTTGGAAAGTAATTAAGAAGCGTCTCTCCAGCTGATCCTTACACTATATTTGTAATCCTTTGAATGTCTCACTTTTCTTTTTGGCTCTCTTGTTTATTTTATTGTGATAATTTCAAAGAAAGCAAAAACCAAGTAAAGCGCATTGTTGTGCATTATATATCCTTCCGTCATTTCCAGGAGATTTCAAATAACTGGTCACAGGGACATTTTCTAAATTCCTTTTATTTTTAGAGACCATTTTCTTTTCCCACCGCCTTGAACAAATTACCGAGTGAAACCAAAATTATCCAAGGGAAAGAACATAGAGAAAGCTAGAGCAACAAAGTGAGGACGATGAATCAGACACTCCTAACGCCGAGATGTTACGATGATGGCCGGCAGTACAAAACCCTACCACAGGAATACCATAGGAACTTTCCTGAGCCATATATAGGGGGAAACTTCCAACTCAAAGGACAAGGGTCAATTTTTTCAGGGTTCTATTTCCCGTGCAAAAACATCCATAAATCTCATATACATAAACCCAAATCCTTCCTTTATACACATGGCAGGATTTAGCCCATAATCCGGAGGCAATGACAACGAAGGAAAACTCACTCTTTTTCTCTCACTTTAGTTATCCCCAGTACCAACCAAGAGCTAATCCCCTTGCTACAGTCTGATTTTTTTTACATGGCTTGTTATATTACTGCAGTAGTTGGTGTGAGATACATGGGGAGCAAATCTCACATTGTGGGGATTGTGTAGCCTTCCATATTGGTCACATGACTGGAAGGTTTTTCAGGCAGAAAATGGGCTTGTCCTGCAGATAAAGCAAGAGTCAAAATGTATTTGAACCTACCACCTTGTGCCCTTTGAAGAGTTGCAAAAATACGCCCCATCCGAAATATTTTCAATAGATTCGGGAGTGGGCCCTAGCAATGCCCTGAGCTTTTAAATCCCACACCCGTTGAGTGGATGAGTTCTGCTTAAATATGGATGGCACGAAGTAATCCAGACGCTGAAGATGTATGTGCAATTTACTAAGATTGTTCCTATATTTATAATTACTCTTCACAATTCTAGATGTCTGGGAAGCTATAAGGAGTTTCCCACGAATGTGACCTTTCTTAAATCTAAACACAACTTTCAACCTTCCCTTTCTTTTATTCATTTTTTTTGACAGATCCTACTTATTAGCAGATGCTCTTTCTCTCAATATTATCTCTTGCAATCTTACTTATCGCTAAATTATACACATTACTTCAGCAGCCTATTGGTAAAGAAGGTTAAATGAATTTACATTCTACTCATTATCTGGTGTTTAAATGACGTGTTTTATCCCTGAGATTTGGCAAAGAATCTCTTCCCTCAGACCCCACAGCGTTTCGATAGAGACAATGCTCTTACATTTGTAGTGGATTTTAATCTGATAAGACTCTAATTTGCTTAAGTCTTTTAAATAGGGGGTTTTAAATGATTCTAGTCGTTTTCTTATTGAATTTCCTCTAATTCCCCCAAGATCATAAAGTATATGTGCAAAGTAAATATTTCCTCCCTTTGCACCGGCAGCAGATGACCTATAACTAAGTCAATATGAATCCAGCTCTATTCTGCACAATTTGTTTACTAATCATATTCCAGTTTCTTAACCTCTCTGTACTACTGCGGTCCTGTACTCATCAATCCCCGAAGCCCTTGTTAACGAAAGGAATCCATTAGGAAGAAACCAACAATTCTCAGTGTCTTTAGTTTAAACTCAAAGCCGGGATTGTAGATTTCTAGGTTCAAAACTTCAGCAACGTAATTTCTGTCTGGGCAGTATTTTAAAAGAAGGCCGGGGGAGTGGGTGGACCCTGTTCATACAGCAATTGTTATTTTCTAATTCTGTATTTCAAGATTATATTGCAAATAACGAGGGAACTACAAGAAGCACGGGACACTTGTTACTTTTACATGTTTTGTAAAGAAATAAATCTCTCTGCTTTAAATAACAGAAGCAATCAAGAAGAGGGGCTGGAGAAGGAAGATTGCAAGGGGTTTTAACTAGGTCTTCCCCTTTGATACGTGAACCCGGGGCAGTGTGTGTGTGTGTGTGTGTGCCAAGGGAGAAGACCTAGCCTTTATTTATATTTTTGAGGACGGAGCATACTAGTTTATGAATGCAAACCTTCCCGTGAATCCTGCGATTTAAACGAAAAAGACATATGTCTGATTTGGAAATGGCCCGGCACGCATTATGCACTTTGCGAGCTGCTCTGTTGAAGTCTAACTTGTTTGGTCATCAATCATTATGATATTTGGCCTCTGGGATAAAACCTAACGTAAGTCCAATTTGCACACAAACGTCCACCCGCGCCAATACACGCTACCATTTGC